CTTGGAGTCGGCTACTACTACTACCTATGTTTGCTTTGTTACAGGTGCGAACGGTTTATGTCGAAGTATTTTGTCATACTTTCACGTCAGGAGACGAAAGTTGCAATAATGTGACACGATTTTGTAATAAAATAAGATTTCTAGATACATCAGTTACAGAAAATTGATTAATAAAATGTAATTGAAAGATAAACTTTTGCAAGTAAGTACATGAACGACTGCACCTGAAATATAGATGTCCCAGCAGGTTTGATTCTCTTTTGAGCAACCTAGTTTCAACAACAGTTTCCACTTGGAAATATATGTATATAGCAAAATGTTTTCGTATGAAAAAATCCCTGATCAGGCATTGCTGTATCAATAAAAATTTGCCATTACAGAAATTGTAATAATAATTAATCACAAAGAGATGGGACAACAGTTTGGGTTGCTACCTGTAGAAACGACTAGTCTTGAGTCAAATTAGCACAACAGTTTTTAGAACCCATATTCCTTGTGAAAATGATAATAAAAAGCCCTAAACTAAGAGACTCCTTAGAGAACTCTATCAAATTTCCATCGAGATTTAGCAAACTAGCAAACTAGCAAACTCCTTAATAACAGAGAACTATCGAAGAAGGTTGAACAGAAAAGCGCCACTGGGTTTAAGTCATCAATTTTCCTGATAAAGATTGAGATAAGTCATTCTTTATAAGAAATTATTTATAAGTATATTATTAAGATTATATCATTATGAATAAAATATTGTTAATATTATAACGAATGGGAAAACATCTATTGAGTTGTTTTTTCAACATGCCCATTTAGTATACAATGTCCCTTTACAACTGACAATTGTAAATTCCCCAAATTTATTAAATGTCCTTACTTGGACAGTTGTAAATAAAATACAGAATAAAAACAAGATTTACATTGTTGACGAAAGTAGAACAAATGATATGACAAAATTTTGTAATAAAAGTCTACAGCTGAATCATATAAGTTGAATATATTACATTTTGCTAGGTGTGAAAACTTTGATGATGTGATGTGGTAAATATATATTTTATCGCTTTTTAATTTTTATGGAACATCGGTGCGTATCGAAGTGGTTTTATTATATTTTGATAGCATGAGATCACATGTTTAGATATAAAACTTTTTATAGTAGCTCTATACTAAAATTTAGCAATAGAAAAAAGTTATTGCATAAAAGGCAATAATAACCAATAATCAATTTGTTTTAATTATAACTTCTTTTAATAAAGTGGCCACTGGTATTTCTTTAAGGTATTGGTATTTTGCCTTGGGGCAAGTTACATAAACTTCCCAATGTGTGTTAATAATCGACTTAATCAATAAAAAAATAATTAATTTATGAGTGATTAAAAGTATTCCGAGTGGATTTATTAAACATAATTGAAAAAGAACGAACACGTTAACTCGGAGTATTTTCTGGAAGCAAATTTTCAAAAATCAATAATTTTTATAATTTAACCAGTTTCCATAGGACTTTAATGGTTTAGTATGTTCATTAAGACCAAGTACTGTATCGTATACCAAGTAAATCGTCTAATTTTAATTTTTACAAACGTCAAAAAGCTACTCATTTTTTCATACCTTGATGAATTTTTAAAATTAAACTACTTGACGCAAAGCCGTAATATTTTAGTAAGTTCTATAAGACTATGATATATATCGCCAAAAAAGTTCCATAAAAAGTTTCATAATATATATTGTTTGTAAATTATCAATCTAAAGAACAAAAGGTATCAATCTAAAACTGTATTCTAAAAAATTTAGTAGTAATTTAGGTCTATAGAGAAATGAGTATCAGAAAATTATTGATATTACACGATTCAAAATATTTTCAAATTGTTATAGGTTTTTGTCACAAAATATATAACAGATGTATTAAAGAAATTACCATGAAGTTTTGATCAAAGCACTCTATATGTAAAAATTATGAATAAGAAATATTTATCCTACCAAAAATTTTAAGGGTAGAGTGCATAATATGCACTCATATCAACTGCATATCACATATGTGATATATTCATTAAATTACTTGAAGAAAATGTTTATCAATAAATGTAAAAATTCAATTATATTTTAGTATGCATGTGTCTATTTTATGATATTTTAGAATAACAATATGATCATTAGTGAGGAAATATACTTGAATAGATTTTTTTTAGTTTTATTTGGAATATAGAAACGTTGTCGAAAAGATATTATACCATTGTGATAATTCAACAATGTAAAAGTCTTATATTATGTAAATATTTGCTCAATATAAATACGTCTACAAATCAACGATACTATTTTTTAAATACCATTGTGACAAATACAAATCATACTATTATACTATTTCTCAAACTAGTGGGGTGCTGGCATCGTGCCTTAAGGCAAATTGCTGAAACTTCCAGTACCGTAATTAAAAATCTTGGTATGGCACTTAAAAAAAAAACACAAAATGTGTACACATTATTAAAATTTTTATAAAATATCTGATTATTTGAGGTGCATATGTCCAATAAACATTTTTGACCGCCAAATCACTTTTTGCCCCGAATATTCTGAACTGCTAGATCTACCTTTGCCAAAAACTAATCAGCAGTCTACTTATCAATACAAGTCGAGTGTTTTTTAAATTATTCAAATCGTTTGATTGGTGTTCCCGAAATCGTCGAGGAAAATTTGTATCCGAACACACACACACACATACACACATACACACACATACATCAATATTTTCGAAGGTATGCCAAAATATTCAGAAACCTTTGAAACGTAAAGATATATAAAAAAAATATTTTCGGTTATTTTGCGATTACTATAACTTACTCTACGGGAAATTAATATCATCACGACAAAAACGGTTTATATTGCGCTTTATTCAACATATAATACGCCTACAAATCTACTATATATTTCCCTTTTCTTACAAAGTTTCTCAAAGAATAAATCTAACTAATATAAATAACATTCCTGCAAATCCTCATGAATTAATAATTAAATTCTTCATAGCAATTCAAGTCCTAAGGCAATTTAAAACACTACTTCGTACAGGCGTGTTGCATAAAATTGATTCAATTAAATCGGCCAACAGAAGTCAATGTGTTTTGACCCTTGGAGGTCAGACCCATTCACAGGTTAGGGTCAATTTTCAACCTACGCATGGAGCAAGTTGTGAAGAAAAATTTATTGAATGTCGAAAGAATTGGGACACGAAATAAGTGACTAATAAAAAGTTATTGAATAATACTGAGGTAACCGAGACCTATATTTGAAGGTATGAAAATTACTATTGTTCATCAATAACACACACACACTCATATATATATATATATATATATATATATATATACTAGATGACCCGGCAGACGTTGTCCTGTACCCACTGCAATTTAAATTCCAAATTTTTTAATATCCTATCCTATACTTTTTAATATTCTATTTAATGTCCTGCCATTTATGGTCTTAGCATAAGTTATATACATAATGAAAACTGCAATATTTTATCAGTTTAAGAAATTCAGAAAGAATAAAATTAGTAACTACAGTAAAAGAACAATTTCACCTTGGTTATTTCCAACCAATATAATTGCTTTAATAATTTATATAATTTGTAATAGTCCATAATTTTTATAATCGCGTACACTATTATAGTTGCTTTTTGGCAATTACATTTTTTACTAAAAATTTAATAAACATTATTACTTTAGTTAAAATCTCCGGTGAATTAATTTCTTCTGTGAAAATTAAATGTAGTTTATATGACTCTATTCAATCTAAGATCATGATGAAACAAATGAATTTTTGATACATGAAACAAAATTCTAAATTTTTTCAATAAGTAGAAATATTCTTTTGTATTTAAATAATTTAGTAAAGTAAAGCAAAATACAACATGCACAACTTTAAAAAAATAATGTATTTGCAAATTCGGAACGTATTGTGTTATTTATTAAACTAAATTATATAATTTCATCGGACAAACATATATTGAATCTTGTATTGTTTTAATTTCTGGCACATCTCAGCTGGTTTTCGGCAATAATATTGCAGATATTATATTTTACTTATTCATAATCATGAATATGGGTATTATATACTTATATTGCCTAGGGTCGCTTAAACTACATTCAAATTTTAAGTGAATCGACATTTTTAGCAGATGACAGTACTCATGTATCAAAATGTTTTTAATGTCAAACAATGATATGTTCTTTTTGGCAATTTTTTCTATTTATGTTTGAAATATTATTATATTTTTATAATCACTTACATTTTAAAAAATCCCCTTAACAAACTTCAGAAAGATTTATTAAAATCCGAATAATCGTTAAGGAGTACTAAATGTATGCATCATTATACAAGAATTTTATATATAATATATATATATATATAATATATATATATATATATATATATATAATATATATATATATATATATATATAAATATATATATATATTAGGTTGGTCCTTGATATGGACATTTTCGAATTTCCTTGCTCCCAAGTGCTCAAACGGTTCCAAATTGATAAAAAACAATTCTCTCAAAATTTTAGCTCAATATTGTTTTTTAGATAGTGCGCAATTCAATCAAAGTTTTGTATGGAAATAGCATGAAAAAAAATTCAAAAATTTTAAAAATGTTTTTAGATATAATTTAGCGAACAAATGAATAAGTTTTATTCAAAATTTGTCGCTAAGCTATTTCTAAATTTTTTTCCATGCTATTTCCATACGAAGTTTGATTGAATTGCGCTCTATCTAAAAGTTAATATTAGGAGCTAAAACTTTCAGAAAAATTGTTTTTTATCAATTTGGAACCAAGGAAATTCAAAAATGACCATATTAAAGACCACCCTAATATATATAATTGACTGATTCATTCACTTATAAAATCTTTGCGATCATATAGCATATATTGGAGCTTTGAAGCTTTGTCCATTATCAGGAGAGCTTTAAAAAGGGAGTACACGTATCTATGAAAATCATAAAGCTTCTTACCTTGACTAGAGAAGTAACAGCTGGGCTGTCCAGTAATCCTTGCAAAAATACTAGATCTGTATTATCGACACCTTTCTCACTAAGACTATTGAGATTATCTCTTACATGATGAAATGCATCTGAAAAATAAATTGGAAACTATTACAGAACACATTGATTTCTAAAACTAACATGAATATATTAAAACATATTGTACTACCAATATTTTTAGTAATAGACTGAAAATACTTAATATGCCATCAAAAATATTAACACACAATAAATGAAAAGTTTAGCGTAAACTAAACATTTTAGAATTATTTCTTCAATATAAGTCAAGGCAATCAAGATTTTGTAAAAAATATATTACATCTAAATACATAAACTTATTTTTGCATTAATCATACCAAATTATTAGAGGGCGTTCATTAATCACGTGAGGCTTTTAGGGGGAGGGGGGGTTGACAAAAAATCACGAAATATCACTTGGGAGAAGGAGGTGTATAGAAAGATATCACGTGTATTTATATTTTATCTAAATTTTTTTTAAACAATCCAAACATTTAAAAAAAAAATAAAAAATTGTACATTTTTTGCTCGTAATTAAAAATAGACGTAATGTTTGGTGGGGGACGGGGGCAATTTTGAATATCACCACATATAACCAAGGGTGAGGGGAATCCGAAAATCCTTAAAAAATCGATCAAGCGATTAATTGACGCCCCTTTAAATATATTTTAAATCATGCAATTTGAAAAAATCAAGTTGTAGTTCTAATTGTAAGCAAAATAATTAAATTTGTCTCTATGATTACAAATAAATTTCAATATATATATATATATAATATATATATATATATATATAGAGTTTATAATTTAAAATTTAAGCAATTTATAAAAGCATTGAGCTGTAAAATTCAGTGTCAAGTATACCTTAGAATAAATATATTTTTATTATATTATATTTCTATTCTAAATAATCAGATTTCAGCTATATATATTTATGTATTACTCATAAAATTAAAGAAATAAATATTTATAAAACGCAGTATTTTCATTATAAATCTGTCAAACTCCATATAAATATTTCATTTATATCAAAACGCTGAAATTCTATGATAAACAAACGCAGATGGAAAATTCAAATAGTTGGAACATTTGCTTATGATGTAAAGTTTGAGGA